AGCAAGACAGCTTGCAGTCTAACACAATGTGGTACTAATAAGTGGTTAACACTATAAAATAACTCCACAGATAAAAATGACATATATTGGACTAAACCATTTGAAAATGCTTGTTATGTGTCTGTTTTCACTTATAAAATGAGCTATTTCTTTTATTAAGAAAAAAATGTAAAAGTGACAATAAAAGTTTCAAACAGGCTAGTAGGATAGTAACAGTAATTCCAACACCTCATACACTGTTGACCACGTGACAGTTACAGAGCACAATATACAGGCACACAATATCATCCAGACACTATAGCACAGACCTTTCTTTTCAGTGAATTGAGAAAAACTATCTGTACAACCTTCTTAACTATCTTGAGTATATATAGATTGCTTTTTTCCTTTTCCTTAATTTTCTTATTCCCTATTGCATTAATTTCTGCTCTGATCTAATTTCCTCCCTTGTATGGAGCTATGAGCTTGATTTACTCATCTTTTTCTAGACATTTGAGGTTAGGTTGTGTATTTGCCTTTTTTTTTCCTTTGTGAGAGTTCATCAGTATAAATTTCCCTCACAGGTCTGCTTTCATTGAGACCCCTAAGTTTCCATATGTTGTATCAGTATTATGCTTAACTGTATATTCTATTTAATTTTGTCTTTGATTTCCTCTGTGACTCACTGGTTATAACAGAAAGATGTTGTTTAATTTCCATGTGTTAATGTATTTTTTGTGATTTCCTTTGTCATTGATCTCTTGTTTCATTGCACTATGGTCAGACACCATGTATGGGATGATTTCAGTTCTTTATATTTACTTAAATATGTTTTGTCAGCTAATATATGATCTATTTTGGAGACCATCCCATGTGCAGCTGAGAAAAATACTAATGCATTCTAATGTTTAGGGGTAGAACACTCTATAGACATCTACCAAGTGGACTTGTTCATAGGTTTGTTTTAAATCTATTATTTCTTTGTTGATTTTTCTTGTCTAATTGACCTGTTCATGAGAATGGGGTATTAAGGTCCCCTACTACAACTATTTTAGTTGTTGTATGATTTTACATGTCTGTTAATATTTATTTTATATAGCTGGCTCCAGTGTTTGGTGCATATATATCTATAATTGTTATTTCCTCTTCTTGAAGTTTTCCTTTAACAAGGATATAGTGACTGTGTCTTTTGATAAGTTTTTGGCTTAAAGTTTACATTGTCTGCAAATAGAATAGTGACCCCTGCCTTTTTCTGGGTTCCTGAGGTATGGTGAATTGCTTTCCATCCTTTGACTTTTAGTTTATGAATTTCTTTTTGGATTATATATGTTTCTTGCATGCAGTATACTGTTGGTTCTTCTTTCTAGATCCATTTGGCTAGTCTGTTTCTTTTGTTTTGTGAGTTGAGACCATTTATGTTGATGATTATAATTGTTATGTACTGGTTATTCTTTTTCATGTTATTTTCCTGTTGGTTCCTTGTCTTTCTCCTCTGTTTAATTGTTTGTGCTGCCAGGTGAATTCTTTCTGTTGGTGTTCTTGTGCCTGTGGTTTTCATTATCTCATTCTAATATATCCTTCAGTGTAATCTGTAGCGCTGGTTTGGTGCTCATAAATTTCTTCACTTGTTCTTTGTCACAGAATATCTTATTTCCCCATTTCAATTTTGAAAGACAGTTTTGTGGAGTATATCAATCTGTGTTGAAGATTGTTTTCTTCTAGGGCTTGAAATACCTCACTCCATTCAATCCCTGGTTCTGGAAAAAAAAAAAAAAAAAGAAAGAAAGAAATACCTCACTCCAAGCTTTCTTCAAGGGTTTGTTTTGAGAAAGCCACTGTGATACTGATGGCCTTCCTTTGTGGGTGATATGTTTCTTATCTCTAGTTGCTTTTAGTATTTTGTTCTTCTATTGATTTTCTGGAATTTTGAGTATTATATTCCTTAGTGTACATTTATTTTGGTTATGGATATTTGAAGTTCTATATAATTCATTGACTTATATGTCAAACTCCTTTATCCATGTTTGAGATGTTACTGCCATTATTTCTGTGATGGCATTTTTAATGGATTTTGTGCTAACCACAGCTTTCTTGATGACTCCAATCAATCTTATGTTGTTCCTCTTTGCTTCATCTTGTACCTGTTGGATTGATTTGGGGTTTTTTGTTTGTTTTTGTTCTTTGTTTTTTGGGGGGAAGCGGGAGTCTCTTACAATTTTTAGGATCTTTCTTTTCCCAGTCGCTAACTGCATTCCTGTCTTCTAGATCTGATATACTGTGTTCACCTTCATTCCATCTGTTGCATATACTTGCAGTGAAATTCTTAATCTCCTGGGTTTCTGTTTGGATCTGTTTCATTGGTGTGATTTTTTGTCTGTGTTGGCATTTATGGTTTCCATTGTTTTCCTGAGCTCTTCTATTTTTTGGTCTGTGTTTGCTTTGATGTCTTTCATTTTGAATATCATTTCTTTTTGTAACTTGGAAAATATTATTCCTATGGCCTCTTCCATTTGCTTTTTCACTTTCGCTGCCAATATTTCAGAGAGTTCCAGTGCTTGGCTTCCAATGTCCTCTATCTCTGTGTTCTGGACTTGTCCTGGGTTGGCTAGGTGTTAATAGTTGCATTTTGTTTCTTCATCTTTTCATTTTCTATTTTTACTTCCCTATGAGGATACTTGTAGATTTCTTATGTTAGCTAGCTTTACTGCTGGTGTTGAGGCTTCCCTGGGAAATGTCTGTTCCTTAGGGTGTCTTCTAGATGTAGATCGTTCTTGGCCTTGAAGTTTATCTCAAGAACCTACCTTCTCAATATATTAAAAATGAGAAATCGTTATCTATTTGATTCATGGCCCATTCCTTTTGTACTTGACTATGATAATGGTGAAGATCCCTCACAATCACAGTGATGTCATTTAGGAGAGAAAAAATGATTATAATAAGTATGACCTCTTGTTTGAACTAGCATGATTACCAATAATAATAAACTTAAGGACAGCCTGGCTAGTGATAAACTCTGTTAACTATTACCCTGATACCTTTGGCCATAGGAGCAAGTTCTATAGTTACATAGTATAATCCAATTTATACCAGGAATTAGTATGCAATGATTTCCCACTTAATAGAGTGATTTTACCATTTTGTGGAGGTTTTAAGACAGATGGATTAGTTTGAAAAGATGAATGATGTTAAATATAGTTGGGATAGGATTCATGGGTATAGAACAATCATCCAAGTTTTGGGTAAGTGAAGAGAAGATTGGAAGAGAAAGCCTAGAGGTTATTCATGATGTTTTTGTGGTAGCT